AACATCTTCACCCATGCCATGGAGTTAGAGCCTGCAGCTGATTAAAAAACAATTGGGCTTTGTAACTCTTTCTATGTCTTCAAGTCTCTTAAAGCAATTCACACCACATGTGTAACCTCAAAATGAGCATGTCATATCATTATAACGTTTGCCACTCAAAACATTTTAAACATGTTTATTTCTGTAGACATCAATTCATTTCCCATTAAAGTCTCCACTGGTATGTTTCAAAATGTGATTATTATTGCATGGCATTACGTAGGCATTTTAAGCAATCCTGGATGAAAATGTGGTTAATCTTGGACACAGTTTTCATTACATCACTAATCCAAATGACTGTTTTGGTTGGTCGCCAGATAAATCATGTCATCTACCTTCTCCAGAGTTGGGGGGAGACTTGCTGCGGCTGGACATGCTGAGGGGTGGGAGCTGGTGCGCTGGTCTGGCCATGGGCTCCATCCATTTCATCCCCACGCACCCCCGGAGCGGTTGGTTGAAAGCATCATCAGGATCAGCTGCAGGGCAGCCTCAGCCACATGCTGCTGGACATTGAATAGCAACTGGACAGTATCTGGGAATATGTGGAAAGGAAGAGGGAAACAATTAACGTTAACGCAAGTTTACAGTGCAGCTAGAGCCAATTTACGATTAAAAAGAGATGCAGTAGCCCTTTCCAGCAGCAAGTACACATACATAGGTATTTCTCAGATCTCCTCTTCTAAAAGAAGATGCTTAATATAGCAGATACAATTAATTCCCAAACAATAGATTTTAAATACTGTTGTATTTCTTTACTTGCTCCACAGTCTGCATAGTGACCACTATCACACCGGCTGATGAAAGAGCATTGCAACATTTGTTTTTAAACTCATAATCTAAGAAAGACAACCAAACTACAGTAGAATATATGTTAGGTCTGTTATTATTTTAAACATGTATCTATCTATTAATCCATCTATTTTTACTTGACCGTCCTATTGTTTCATCAATCATGCAGAAAGAGCAATGAAAACATAGAGCTAGAATAATAATGCAAAGGATATAAACTATACATAACAAAATAATACATTCATCTCTCTTTAGAATATACAAAATGCAAATAAATCCTTCAATGATGCTGTTCTGCTTAACGTGACCTTTGTAAGGATAGTATCCAGTGTGGCTTTACTCAGTAACCTTTTATTGTTCTTATAAATCAGATAAAGGGTCATCATAAAAGATGCATTAGCAAACTAACAATCCACATAAACAGCAGATTGTCTCTTTAAAAAATAAATTAAATGAAACTAAGCCACAATCGCTGGTATTATATAAACAAGAGAATAAGCCCACCTCCAAAATATCTGCAGCCTGTTTTTATGTCAGCAACAAGGTCCCACATGAGACAATAAGAATTGTTAAGGTTTAATCCTGAACTGCAGCACTGGTTTGTTTACATATGCTATGTTTACCAATAGAGGGAAATGCATTTGTTTTGAAAATAACCATTAGATAAAAAAGAGAGAGAACATGTATATATTTTAAAGGAAAGTGCAACTATAACAGGCACATAATGTTATGTTGTTATTGTCTTATTTTTAGAGGTAGCCTACTTTTAAATGTATGTTAAATAATACTGATAACGGATCTTTAAGTCGTTTTTGAGTCACATTATGGCCCACTTTACTTATGTTATTATACTGTTTTCATAATGTTAATTCTTCTTAAAACGTGTATTGTCAGTCTCCACATGTGTGTGTGCAGCTCCTCTAACAACATGTGATGCCCGTATAGGCCTATACGGTCTGACATAAGCGCCCATCTTTGCAGCAGGGTTCATAAAGAGGAAATAATCCTTCACTGAACGGGATTTCATGGTTATCTAGAGCTTTTCTGCATTAAAAAAAAACCTAAAGCTTCGACAAGCGCGCTCCTAGTGCAGGAGACATGCTGCCAGGGAACTGTTACAGCGCCCGGTCAGACACAGCAGCACCAATATGCCGCAACTTGCATTCAGGCATTGACAAAACAAGTGCTGAGCAGACTCACCTTAAAGGGAAGCGAACACTTCACTGCCTCCAATAAAGGCGCAGGGCGGTCCAGCTGTCAACGCGCAAAATCGCCACACTTCTCCCCGATTCCTCCAAATAAAACTGGCTAGAAAACACTGCAGATATGTCCGGACGCATGTAACGCACTATCCGTCATAGTGCAGCATTCCCAATCCCTCCGACACGCACACAGCTCGAAACGCTGTTTGCTGACACACACACCCGGGCGGGACAGTGTTATTTCGCTGGAAAATGCTCCCTTTCTCCGTACTAACCTGGCCAGTGATGGCCTGTGCCAGAATGTCCGACGCGGATTAGTGATGTTTTCAGATTTGAGAGGTCAAACTCCGCCCCTAGTGTAGCCTCAAGTGCACTGCTGCTGTATTGCAATCTTCAATCCCTGCATGGCAAACTGTGTGCTGGCGGAAGGTCAGACTTCCAACTTGTCATGATGATGATGATTAGAGAAGCCATCACATGACTGCACTGGTTTCATAATCATGCAGCACTGTGGGGAGTAAACCCTGCCTGTGTGTGTTTTTGTTAATGCTCTCACTTAAATGTCAAACAGCAGAACAGAATTGCGTTGTTCTGATTTTATAATTGCAATTGTGTGAATATGCAACAATTGCGATTGCAAAACACAAAGGAGTTGTTGTGATTGTATCCGTTTACTTAACATGTGTTAATCTGGTGGAAATAACACATGCATTTATTTATTTTAAATAACAAACTAATATTATAAATCTAAAATGTCTGTCTCTGCAAATCCACAGGAATCAGGACATAGAATCACGTAAATTGGGGCAGATGGAGGATGTAGAGCCTGCAGAGCTGAGCAGGTTTTAAACGTAGACAGGTCAGGAGGACTGATGGTGCAAACACGCTACGGTCAGTAGAAATCACACTCACTGATTGGATGATCAGATTTTTCAGTTTGAGAGGGTCTGTCCAAAATAATGCTTGGGCGCAACAAGCTTTAAAAAAAGGTGAGAAATAAGGAATAACAGTATATTTGTTTGTTATATATCAAAGATAATATGAATGATCTGAAGACTCATCCTTTTAAGTTACATTTTCATCGCTTTTGGCTTCTCTCTTTTTCAGTGTGTGTGTGTGTGTGTGTGTGTGTGTGTGTGTGTGTGTGTGTGTGTGTGTGTGTGTGTGTGTGTGTGTGTGTGTGTGTGTGTGTGTGTGTGTGTGTGCGTGTGTGTGTGTGTGTGTGTGTGTGTGTGTGTGTGTGTGTGTGTGTGTGAAGCCTGTGAAATAGAGTAATTCTCTATTGATGACTTACTATACAGAGTGTGATTTTGACACCAATAATGACATATGTTTGAGAAAATATTAAACAGGCACATCTGCTATTTTGGTTTAACACTGTGACAAATACAGCTTTACTAATATTTTCCTACAGGTCCTGATATATTCAGCACTATCACTACATCGAGTATATATATACGGTATAAGTAAGGACCGTGTGCACTGAACAGGATGGTACAGTATTACTGTATTTAGATGGTCTCTGATCCTATCTCGGCTCCAGCAATAGCACTGAAACGTCCCTTGTGACACATGAAGTGTTTTTGGTATTTTTTATTTTAGGCTCCATATTTCACCCTCTGAATGTAGCACAGCTGAGCTCTGTTCAAACGAGCTGTCAAACTCTACTGTTCTTTAGTTTATTTTTGGAGCCCATTTTTTTGTGTCTGTTTTGATCTTATTTTTTTGTCAATTTCAAGAGTTTACTAGTTCAGCCACAAGTGACTAAAATAGATTCCCAGCAACTATAAATCAGTGGCTACAAGGGCAGCCAGAGTTTTTAGTGTGATTTAGGTTCAGTTATTTCCATTGTTATCAGGTTTTTGGACTTCTATCACCCAAAAATGCTCTTAATTGACAGTACACCTTCCTTAAAAAACAGGGTTTCAATTGTCTATGTCAGATTTATACTTGATACACGTCCATTATATTGAACCTGCATGTATGGCGTTGACTTATAATTCTGTTAAAACTCAACATTGTCACCACACAGACTTTCTCATGGTCAAGTCTCAAAACATTGAATAGGTCATTTTGGGATTCAGTGAGAATTGTATTTATTTGTATTCACACGTTATTTCATTTAAAATGATACAAATTGTCATTTCTGATCATGACAGTATTTGGAAATTATTCTATTTTCAATATTTGAGTTTATATAACCCAGATGTTTACAATTGTATTTTCAGTTTCATTCAAAAGCATTAAATGAAGTGCACTGAAGTTAGTTTTTATAATGTATAATATACATGAAAAAGCAGTACACCTAAACTGTATAAATAAAATCATGCAGCTTGATATTATTCAGAAACACAGTGATCTAACTTCAATATATCACTCGCAAACATTCAGTGTATTTTGCATACAGTATTGTCACATTATTGCCACTTTTAGATTTTACAGTAAGTGTTATCCCACTCCAAACAAGACCATAGTCATGTTGTACAGTCATCACTTGTATTTGTAAAGGAAACGTTTGTTTTTTTTAGTCCATGAATATGCTGTGTATTTTTTTATCAATCAGTTCCTTGCCATCACAGTTCAAAGTCCAACAAAAAAGAAAATTGTCCAGGTTTCTCAGTCCTCCTTCCAGCTACCTCTGTTATTTCCTCAAGAATAGTTTACTATATTTCAGCAGTCAAAAATCAATCCGAGGTTCAAAACAGAGTTCCTGCTGCTCTCTCTAAATATTAATTGGTTTTGCGTTGTATTTTTAGATTCATTTAAGTGAAGTATTATAATACTTAAATACTTTGTATTTGTATAGTCGTTATTGGCATGCTCTAACATAAAGTGTAGCTCTTTATGTATCATGATAAATTAATAACAATTAAAATCATTTTGTGTGTATTTTGTGGTAAAATAATTATTTACAATATATTTAATTGATTGAAATAATAGTAATAATAACTTTATATAAATTACTGCACGTTCCAGTTGTGTACCATCAATAAATAAGGTACGTTTTTTATTTACATTACATATTCATCAGGTCATCGTAACATTTATAACATTTACAGTTTTGCTTTCACTTTGAGTGGAAACCCTTCAACATCTTGAGTTGTGTATAGCCCGTTCATTTAGCTATTTACATGGTTTTCTTTAAATACAGTTTAAGTGCACACCAAACACACAAGTCAACAAATACATGAAACATGGTGTCTATTGGGGGGAAAAAATCCAACACATTGATAGGGAATAGTGACTGTGCACCTAAAATAACATTTTGCTGTCATTACAGGCAGGGCCATAATACTACAGCCACTTCCTGTTGCCAGGTTACCAATAGAAACACCACCTACAGGTCATCAGACTCTGGGACTGGGATTGGCTCCAGGGTGACAGTGGGGAGGATCAGATGGGTGCCCTCAGATATCCACCCACAGGCCGTCCGGTTGAATGTGGGTCTCTTCACCCCGGGCTCCTGCAGCTCGGGGTACTTGAGGGGGTTCAGGTCTATCTCCGGGAGCTTGAAAGTGATTCCTCTGGGAGCTTTGTCAAATCCCCCAAAAGGAGTGGCGACCCTGTAAACGACATCAAGTATGAACTCGTTGCTGCACTCTGTACTAATTCAGTAAAATATTCTTGTAGTTTTCTCACCGGTTAAAGCTTTTGAACTCGGGAAGGTCTTGTTTTGGGTCTGGTGCTGAAGTTTCCAGTTTAAGAGTTTCGGCGAGGCTGGGGTCCATGAGGATGGCCTGGTCCCATGGGGAGTGGTAGGACTTATGCATAGCTGTGGTGCTTGAATTCTCTGCAGACATGTCTTAAAGGAGACAAAACCACAGAGGCACCATGAGTTCATATTGGGGAAGATTGTCCCAGCATTTAAACAGTTGACATTTTGGGATGCAGTTTACGGGTTAATGCTGAGCGCTTTTGTTTAGCCTCAAATGGGAGGAGGCTAAAGATTTGGAGTGGGAAGGATTATGAATAGAGACTTTGCTTAGAGAACACTAAGACGGACTGAGTTGTCTGTCATTGAGATCTGAGGCCTTAAAATAGCACATAGTCGAAGTGTGCACTCATCATATAATGTGTCGACATGGGATGAAACCCTACTGGAGCCTTTTAGAATAAGCATAGGACTGTTGGCTTGTCGTTGCATATTTACAGTGAGTTGCTTTAGATCTAGACCAGCTCTTATGACTGTATGATATCAGTTGTCATTATTATGACAGCATTACAGAATCAGTCACTGTTATTTTACTGTGAAGTATTGGCAGTTTTTTGTATAGATTGACAGTAGAAGAAATAATACATATACATTACGATTCTTTTGTAAACAGCATATTTACCTGAAACAGTGATTTCTGGTGTAGCAGCGTTGCCATCAGCGGGTGGGTCCACTTTAATTTCCACAATGTGAGCATTCTGAGCTAAAATATCATTCTGCAAAACAGAAAAATTAAAGTAAAGTACAAAATATGTAATAAGTTTCAGGTAACAATTAACACATGATAAAACTGGCACAACTGTAGCTGCTATCTTCAAAGCACTTAGATACATACAAAAACACGCACACACACACACAATACCAAAAACACTTCATGTGTCTCAAGGGACCTTTCAGTACTATTGCTGGAGCCGAGATAGGATCAGAGAACATCTAAATACAGTAAGACTGTACCATCCTGTTCAGTGCACACGGTCCTCACTTATACCATATACTCGATGTAGTAATAGTGCTGAATATATCAGGACCTGTAGGAAAATATTAGTAAAGCTGTATTTGTCACAGTGTTAAACCAAAATAGCAGATGTGCCTGTTTAATATTTTCTCAAACATATGTCATTATTGATGTCAAAATCACACTCTGTATAGTAAGTCATCAATAGAGAATTACTCTATTTTACACAGGCTGGCCCACACACACACACACACACACACACACAAGCACACACACACACACACACACACACACACACACACACACACGCACACACACACACACACACACACACACACACACACACACACACACACACACACACACACGCAGAGACACATCAACAGACACTGATAAAGAGGGGAGCAGCTCCTCAGCAAAGTGCCTGTGCAGCCTCTCAGAAGATGTGTCTGGACGATGTAAAAGGCACACGTCTCTTTTTATCCATGTGACACTGTTTTCAAGAGCACATTTCCTAGTGCATTTACTTAATGAGTACAATAATAAACAGATAATATTACACATGTCTGTGCGTGCAGACAAAACTCTAGATGAACACAAAAAAGTCAGATTTTAAGCGTTCATTTAATCCAGTCATTATTAATTGACTTAATAACACATGTAGGTTGACTTACATTCAGCAGTGTGTTTGCCTCATTTTGGATACTTTCAAATGTATATTTTTCAGATCTTCTCTGGCGCATTTTGAAAAGCCGGGACCCTCTGTTGGAAAGTAATGACAACTCCTCCAACATAATGTCTTTAGGGGTGCTGAGCTTCTTTCCCAGATCCATAACGTCACCTGTGGACCAACAATATATAAAGATGAAGAGGAAGATAACAATCTTTAAAACCCACATTTAGTAGACAATCCTTAATCAATTATTTTGCAATCACCATAATAGTGAGCAAACAATATTTTCAAAAACTAAAACGTGGACTTGTGCCAACACATATTATTAAGTCAAGGGAAATTGTATACAAACAATAACCAAGCAAATGATTTGCCATTGATATTATTGGGCCATTTATGGGAAAAAGTGCCTCATGGGAATTATTATTATTTGATGAATTGCACATTTGTTTGGCAATCATAAAAAGCCTAATTGAGACTGAATTAGGGAATATCTTTCACATTATCCTAAGGGTGTCTAGTAGTCAGATCCTGGGTCAGATAGATACCGTTTAGGGGTTTAAACTATATTAACATTGGGCATATGTTGAAATGAACTTCATATGACTTGATCATCACAAACTAACTTGAAAAAGGGGCGGAGGGATAATGGCAGGTGTTGGAATAGTGGGTAAATCCGATCTGGTTTTACACCTGGAAATTGCTTCAGACACTAGACAAATATAGGCACAGATATATACTCTGATATCATTTTGTAAGCTGAATAGGTTTGAGGAAGGGTCCATAGATGACAACAAATCTGTCAACAAATTCAAATGTTCCATGATGTAAGCCCTGTCATGGAATATGAGTTATCATTGTACTTGAGAATTAGTTTTGGATGGACATAATACTTCCTCCTCCACCACATAGACGGTATGTACCGCAGCTGTCACAAACCTTCACATCATCCAAATGGCCACACACAGTTGGCCCTCACAACTTCCCTCCCCTTTCCACAAATAGACTTTTGAAAAGGACATTGACAAAGGATTAGCCGGCATAGGTAGTAAATCATCTCATTAGCTTATTTATGGCAATTGCTGGAGTGTAGCTCTGACATTTGAACCCAGATCATATTCTCATTCAGTCTGTGTTTGCCCACTGAGCCTCAAGTCTAACATTGATCATACCATTGGTACCATGGACCTCTCGGCAAATAGCTGCTGCGCGCTGCTTCCTCTCTCCAGTTGGCATTGTACAGAATTGTGACATTTTGGCTTTGGCAAGGTTGGCAGAACGCAGTAGTGCTGGAAATACATACAGGACACAGGATGTAGTTGTTCTGCCCGAGTCATAAAGAAGGAGTTTTAATCCAAACACTACGATCCCCCAAAACATTGATGCAGCACTAGCCCTTACAAACAGCTAAACACAGCGATTACTGTTCATTTATTATGTTTAAAGTGATCTTTTATCAGATGTCATAGAAAGAAAACGCAATCAGTAATGCTGACTTTTAAAACTCATATCACACAGAGTTATAGCTCAGTTATTTCCTCTTACATAACTAGCATAATACACAGTCTTTTATAAAGTTCTCCCATTGGCTGTCAGCATTTATTGAAATGGAAAGATTAATGGAAAGCACCCAGGTGATGAAAAATATGCCATATCAGTGTCTCTCCTACGAATGTACGAATAATCTCTCTGTAGCGGTAGCCTTTTTAAATTACCATGCATTGCATAATCCTAGAATCTATTGTTCTGAGGACCACAAACGTCATTCCTAAATCTGGCCTCGTCAGTAGACAAGTATCTGTGTACGTGAACAAATGTTAGTGGTATCCCCCTCTATTGCTGTCACATAAATCCCCTGTATAAAGGTCAAGGGTGACTAATATGCCCTGGGTTTATGCGTAACCGAACAAACGTCCAGCAAGAGACATCAAACACATAAAATCCAAAATAACTTTCCTGCATTGTGACTGGTTCAATCATATTATTTTAGCTTTTCTCTGTTGTCAAATGCTGAACATGATGCTACAACACTAAATGTTTAATATTTAATATCTGAATTATGCCCATCTGCTGTCTTTGTGGCAGTAAAACTAGTTTTATAGATGCGAAGTTAAGAAATAGCAAAGCAATTGAATACTTAAGATGGGCATATTTCCAATTAACATATTATGCTTCACCAAATGATGATAAGAAAGTGACTCCCATAATTCATTTAAAACCAAGCCACATTTATTTTTACCCACAAACAATGACTTCTCCAATTGTCTTCAACCGAACTTCAAAATAATTTAAATATACCAAAAAATACCCCCTGACGAAGCGTTGTATCCGTACCTGTGCTGGGATCCCTAGTATGCCACCTGTATCCTTGAAGGGGAGACACGGACTCAGGGGTCAACCTCCAGGAGGTAGTTTGATCTTCCCTGATCTTCACACTCCCGGACACTAAAGCCAAACTGTGAGTGTGTCCCTGTGTCTGTTGTGAATGGAATGCAGCTTACATCAATAGGCTAAATTTAACTTGCCAAACACTCAAAACCACTCTCTAACACCATGGGGCAAGGATAGCTACCAGAGGGAGAGAAAGAGAGAGAGGGGAGAGGATGGACAACACATGCCCACTGATGTACTCCGAGGCGAGGACTCCCCTCGAGAAACACATTTCCTTCCTCGTGTAAAATCTTCAACGTTAATGTGTCTCCGTGGGTGAAAATAACCTCTGAGGGATTGTAACCTCCAAATCATGGAGGTCTTTATTGCTGGGCACAGCTGCTAGGTGTGGATGCCTCGCTTTAAACTGAGTTTTGTTACAGCTATTATGTGTGATCACTGACATTGGATAATGATATACAGACCAGTGAGGCGGGGATTAGAGGGGGGGTGGGGTCTCATCCCCGAAATGGTGATCAGCCATTAAGATTGTTATACAGCAGCATCAAGGACATTACCCTGGCAGCAAAACCTGTTGTCATACTCCTCCCTTTAAATAACCAGTGAAAAAAATATAATGTTGATACATGAGAGAAGTTCCTGATCTAATACTTAATAAGGAAGTTTACAAACCAGTATTACCTTAATGTTTGATTTCTATATGCTATATTTTTATGTTTTGTATTTAAAAAAGGACACAGTCAGAGAATTAATTAAATTCCCTCTTCACCAAAAATGATGCTTACTCCATGCCACAAATAACACTTCAAACATTGAAAGCATCTTTAAGTATTTTAATTTTTCAGTTTGTGTTTTAAAGGTGCAAAAACATAACATAACTTATAACACACGGGTAAAGCTCATTCCATAATTAGGATAAAACCATGGCTGAGTCAGACATTTTGAAAATCCTGACACTCAATTCATTGGCAGTTCTACATCTTAAACACCATGCAGTGTGTAATCAAAACGTCATGAATGTATGCATGCACCATTAACTCCTCTCTTACATTCTCTCACACTGAGGTCATCACTATGAATGAGCCCCATGTTAACTTATTGCAAGTTTTTGTAAATATGCAGTGTGGCTTCCTTGTAGCAGAGAGAGATATTGTGTCATTACTCAAAGTGCTGCATATTAATAGAAATGTTCACTCTTTTAATATTATTGCAACTATTAAATCTGCAGTGCGAGAAAAGACAGAAAAACAAGATAAGTAACATAATTGTTATCGCTGTGTGAAATATTGAGATGTGCTAAAGTGATCACAAAGCCACAGTGAGTTTTTAGGTTAAGATATGTAACTTAAAAAAGCCGCATTTTGATTTCTTAAAGTTCCTTATTTCTTACTAAATATTTGTAATATCAGTGAGCAACAAAACAAAACAAAAAAGCATCTACCAAGCACTCCTTTCTTCACGTTCACTTCCGCTCTCTAAACACTTTTCTTGATTGCAGTGCAACCATCCTAAATGAGTCTGAATTGAAACAACAAGATTCTAAAATGATCAATTAGACACAATAACAACATTTCCCATCAATGCGTAGCATGGTAATATCTCATCAGCATCACAACACAATAGCTACAGTAAGTAAGTTGTTGTGCTCTTCAAACCAAGTGACCACTCATAAAGATAGCAATGTTTATCACTTCCTTTAACAATTTAAAACCAACATTATAAATCATCTCAAATATTCCTCTTACCTGTATAAGTTTGAACTAACACAGGCCAACAACAGCCTTATTTTTCATCACATTCAAGCAAACATATTTAATGTTTTTAGGCCAAGCTAACTATTTTGTCTTCCATGTTCACGATACCATCATGTAATTATGTGATGCATGTTTGACCTCATCTTAGTAACTTCTCTGGGCTGCACTTTTCAAATGGGAGTACTTCTCTGGACCTTATCCCATGTATCCGACACTGGCCCTGTTGCCGGGCCTCAGAGGCTGGGCCGGTCTGAAGGGAGGCCCATTGAAGGCTGGTTTCTCAGGTAGAAATGTCCTGCTTATGAACGGTGCCTGAAAAGCTGGGGCCGCATGATAATGACCCATCCCAACAGCTGCAGGATCAAGGGACACCCTGCGCTTCCACTCATCCGGAGGCTCTGGCAGAGATCTGCGGTGCCCTGCAGCTTTGACATTAGAGGCAACAGATGACGGGAGGCTCTGAAACACAAAGGCATCGTCCACTGAACAAGTGGGGCTTCTGGAGGCTGCCTCCCACGGACTCAGTGGCTTGTAGACTTTTTCTTGAAAGGATGTTTGCCTCTGTGTCGGTAAATAAAACGCCTGGATTCCAGGTGTGCTGGCAGGTGACAGAAGTCTGGGAGAAGGCATCGAATTCAGTCGCCTGGGTAGACTCAGGGAGCGGCTTCTTCCAAATCCCTGAAAGAAATGCAGATATTTGACTGGTGGGACAGCAGTGTTGCAGGCTTTGCTGCCACCCTCTGGCTTCATGTAAGCCTGGAAAACTAATAATGTGGTTTGTTTATGTTTTATTTGACCTTTTTCTTCTTTAAGCTTAGGGGTTGCACACTGTTGAATGATAGTTTTGCTAAAATAACTTTACAGTTCCGTAGAAACATTTACGAAAGAGGCTCTTAAGATGCAAAAGAATCAACTAATTTCAAGTGCAAAAAAGTCCACCTGTTGTCCCTTTCTTTACCCAATAAGTTGCACATGGAATACATTTATTTATTTGTTTGCATCTTCAAAACCTCTTTATATTTTTGTTTTTGCAGTTTTTCTATGAAATGATTGATTTCAATTCAGCTACTCTCACACCTAAAACTCTCTTTTGAAAGTGTTAAAGTCTTGAGCAACATTAGAGATATTAACAAATATTGACAATAAATAAATACTTAAGAACTTACCTGCTGTTGGTTCAGTAACAAAACAATTGAAAGACATTGACAAGATTATGAAAGTGTTTTGGAACTTAACGGGACAATCCATTTTAAAACACAATTAGCATGTGTCTGCTCAGCCTAAGATCAGCTGTGTGGTTTGACCATGCCTGTGCAGGGCCTTTATCTACCTATAGCAGGACCTGAACTGCAACCTAAACTTTCTCAAAAGCACTGCTGTTTGAATTATCAATATTCAGGGTTTCTTGACACCTAAATAAAGGCTAGCAAATCAGCAAAAGAATGAAAAGCCCAGGACTTGAGATGCTCTCCAAGCATAACCCCATCTCAACTGACAGCTAACCACTATTTTTGACCTTGTACTCCGAAACATGAATTGTGTAGCGTTAGCAAACAAGTATTGATAGCAAGATATCACAGTTTATATGGGCCTGTTTGACTGATCCTTTTCTTCTAAGAAACCATGTTGTGAGTGTTGGCTGTGTGGCATCTTGGTATGTGGAGGGAGTGTTTTGTTTTTTTGTACTACACAGAATCCTGCCTGTCTTTAAATGTCAAAAATACTTCATATATATAATTCAATGCATGCAAAATATTTTCGAATGTGTTATAAGGGTTCATTTGACTTCACTAGACCTCAAAAACAGTGGGCAGAACATCTTTTAAGAGGCACGATTTGTTTACAAACTTAAAGGCTGATTAAAAATACTGTGATTAAAAAGAAGAGCAAAGGTCCAGAAACATCATCTCAGTGATTCAGTGACAGTGTTAACCTTCAGCAATTTATCATTTTATATAAATACAAGCAATGAGTTATTACAAATAGCCAAACTTGTAGTGCATTTTAGAAAAGTTTGCAGAAGGTTTAGTAAATATGAGTAATTTCTGTGTGAAAGGGTGAGGCAGTAAGGAAGATAAAGGTAGAAGAAAAAGTGACTCGGTAGTTCAGGAAAAGTGAAAAGAAGCTCATTACACAAAGTTCACACGTAAAGGGAAAGACATTTAATTGTGCTGAGGACAAGAAGTGCAATAAACAATGATATTTTTGAAAGACAGAGACATAAACACATATAAGACAGTTTCATTTTGAGTTGCTACTGACAGTGTGAATAAATAGTTAAATATCTGTGATAACTCATGTTTGACTTCAAGGATGAGGAGAAAGGTAAATAACTGGCCATAACTGACAACTGCAAGAAAAATATCCAGATAAAAACATTTAAAGTCATCAGGGTTAGTAATCACAACTCAAGTTAACGCTTGTAGCTGTTGTGATGCCGTTAAAGGAATGAGACTGAAGAAATTGCACGTTTTATGCATTCCAAAAAAGAAGTGCATAGACAGTTTCTCTCCAGATAAACTAAATAATTAAGCATATCCTGTAACTATAATCAATAGTTACTGTTATCTCAGACGTTAGAATTAAGATAAGTATGATTGTAAGTTCAATTAAAAGAATAAAGGTATATTAACCATACAGATATTAACACATTATATTGTTGTGTATTTTTGGTGTCAGTGATGACTGATAATGCAAGTCAGGCATGTCATATTATTTATGAAGAAAAAACAACTAAAGAAAAACAACTCAAACTAGAAACCTCGGTTGAACAAGGTTCTATTCACACAATATTGCACATATAATAGCACTTCCTGAGATTCACTCAACATAGCCTCACATTTTCTTTTTCAAGCAAATATGCACCTCCCTATTTGAGGAAGATAATATAATGTGCTATTTTTTCATTTATATATTAATCTACTTTATATTGCATAGATGTACACTTTTTAATAGAGCTTTGCTGTTCATTTAACATGTTTGCCTTTCATTTCCAGCTAAATATAACTCTGTACTGCATACTGTAAGTTATTTTGGATTTGACCAACACTGAGACTAGAGTCTCTACATTTTCACCTGTTAAATAAGACATTTTAGATGCTACCGAGTTGCAGTTGTTATTATTTTCCTATCGTTTCAGTAAAGCATGACCATATACTGTATGAAAACTAATGAAGAGCAGCAACAGACTTCCATTGTTTGCCTGTACAGAAAGGCTTCTTAGCAGAAAACGTTGGCCGAGGTGCCATTTGACGAGCACCTCTAGCAATAAGGGATGCAGGAGAGAAAGCTGAAGCTAAGCTGTCACCCATA